CAAAGCTACATGTATATGACAGTACTCTATGACAGGAAATGTGGGAGAACACAGGTAAAAACCAGGTAAAATATATATGAAACAGACTATAACTGCGCTTGCCTCTATGTTGTTGTTTTTTTAAAAAGTGGGAGAAAGGAGAACACACCGATCCGATTCTGACCCGCTTCTGACCCCTGCGAGATTGTTTTATGATTTACTAGTAGAAGGCTCTTAAAAGATTACCGGACACGATCGATAAAACTGACAGGTGTATGCGACCCTATCTAAACATTTAACTTTAATTTTATTTGACTTTTATCGTTATCAGAAAGACCGCTGAGGACATACATGTATGTACATGTATAGTAGAAATATTTCTTACGAAGGAATCGTAACACTAGGCATATTTTAGTCTGAAAAAGCTACAGAAAATTGAGTTTGTTCGGGCTTAAAGGCCTCTCGAACCCCAACGAATTTACACATTAATATCAATTTCGTGTGGGTAGTGTAAACTCTATATTTACTAAAGCGGCCTCTTTTCTGTACGTATACTTGATATTTAATACTTGTCACACGACCTGTTTGAACAGTACTTCATGTTTTATACACTGAATATACAAACGTACATGGCGACCCGTTCAAGATCATATGTGACCATGAATTGTATTTGGGGTTGCACGTCTTCGCAATATAGCTAAGGTCAACAATGAATTTGTAGTATGACATGCGACACTTTAAGGTTTGCCTTCAACGTTAAGGGTACGCGCATGAGTAATTTATCGAGTTATACAGGTATGGCCGGTTTTAATTCGGGTCGAATAACCTCTCCTTTCCTATTGTCTATGGCAATATAACCGTTCATTTATTGCAGGTTCAATATTCAGCTAAGTTTGTTATGAGCACACTCCGACATCTGTAGTTGTCATTAATGTTTTAAAACAATCGATGAATGCGGTATGATTTGGTTTGGTTTTATATTGTTTCACGTCCTATCAACAGCTGAGGTCATTGGAGGACATGCATCCATGCGTGTTGTGTGGTAAGCGGGCATGTGTACATGTGTGCCGGAGACCGCGGAGACCGGGTATGTTAGCGTACATGTACGTGTCTCCTTGTGATAGATCGGATCTCATTGAAATACCATGCCGAAGGCACCCAGCACAGCGATCCGCCCGGTCACATACATTTGTACTGACAATGGGTGAACCAGTTGTTGCCATCAGCTATAATGCTGAACGTTTAAGGTCATATACTGACAAGGGTTGAACCAGTTGGTGTCATTACCTATACTGCTGAACGTTAAGTAGGTAATAACAACTACCATTTTTAAAGACTTTGGTATGTCCCGGCATGGGGACAGAACTTATGGCCTTCCTCAAATGGGTGAACGCTCAATATCAAAGCCAAAAGTGGGGTATTGCCAAGTAAGGCGTTATGAAATGAAAGAATGTAGGAGCAGGTATCTGGGATGGAGTGCAAAGTTGTCATCATTAAAATGACCTTGACCTATTTACAAGGTCACCAGGGTTAAAATATGTTAAAAACTTTAACAATCTTCTTCTAAAGTTCCATAAGGCATAGGGTCATGATATTTTGCCAGCAGGTATCTGGGATGGAGTGCTATAAAGTTTACTCATTAAAATGACCTTGACCTACTTTCAAGGTCTCATGGGTCAAATATGTTAAAAACTTCAAACAACGATATCCTTAGAAGTGTGGTGAAATTGGCTCTCTTCACAAGCGCCCCAGTGACCCGGACGCTCCCTTGGACCGGGATTACCCAGGATTCCACGGTCTCTTATGCATGAAGAATTGAACGAACTACACGTGTGAAACACCCAGTAATACAACCAACATTATTCTTAGATCCATGGACCCGGAGCTGGACTGGAGTTCCTTGAGGAAACCATCCTATGAAGTGTACCACCACTCAGGGTGAGTGTCGCAATACACAATAGTCGGTTTTTACCATATTGGCGACGAGGATATTCTGGAGCGGGTGATGCTATAGTGCGGGTTTGACGATAACCCTGCCGTGCACTGAGTAGCGTGTTGGAGTGGTTTGACAGTAATTTGCCTTCCAAAGTTGGAAGGTGAGCACTGGAAAACACTCTATTTATCGAATTTAGAGCAGACTGAATTTATTTGATATTGCATTATAATTAATTATTGCTCTCCCGAAGCGTGTGAGATTTTGAAGTGGGGTCACCATTTTGACCGCAGGGGTCATCGGAGGTGACGTCACGGTTGGAATCCCACATCAACATCCGGTCTCGGACATGTGTTGATGTTTAAACGATTTGGGAAATTGTTAGGGTAATTTTGGATAGTTTCTGCAAAAATTTCATTTTTTTTTTAAAAATTTTTTTTAATTTCTTGATTAGTATTCTATAGGCGTGTAGTCTATAAAATACTCATGGGTTGTGTCTTTGAATTAAATTTAGTTTCAACAGTCAGATTAGCTTTGTAATTTTAATACACTCAGGGGTTGTGTATTTTCTATTTACTGTTACCTAAATTTATTTTAATTTAACTTTCAAATACATCCAAGGTTAGGTGTATTTTTAGACTTGTTTATTTTTAGGATTATATTGTTCAGTAGCAGCTGGGTACCCGGACAGTGGTACTTAGCTCTTTGTTATTTGTTTTTTCATTTAATTTAATTTCATTGTATAATGAGTTGCGGCACGGGGATCATAAACTGCACTCCAAGTCTACGGGCAAAGCTGTTCGTAGGAGTAAGTTAGTATTCTTTCCCCAACCCCACAACAAGCAAAGTTGTTTGTTGTTAATAATAGGAAGAAAAAAAAAATCCCCACAAATTGGTGTTTGTTGTTGATTTCCCCCAATTCCCCACACCAACCACCATGACCCAACAGATTAAAATTAATTTCACGAAGGAGTCGGAATTACGGCAGTATCTACCCTATGTAGGGAAAAAGGTGTCACAAAATATCGCAACATTTAGGCGACAGGAGGGGAACATCTCGATGGATAACATAGGTCATATCCAGAGATTGCGCATTACTCCAGAGCTGTGCTAACTCATCAACTTCGAATCTATTCTGTATTTTTGGGGAAATCCAAACGCCATAACATATGGCGATGGGCCACAAGCGGTGAATCACCTAGAAGGTCTCCAAGCCCGGGAGCCTCGAGTGAGGATCCCCTTAAAATAATAATGGGTGATGATACAAGGCATGTCTCCCCGGGACAGGGTCCACGTATGCGCCGGCAAGTTTCCCCAGTATGTGATTCTCCAGTAAGGGGTTACCCAACACATGGTCCCCCGAGAGATTCGTCTCCAAGGCGGGACTCCCAAAGACGTGGGTCGCCAAGGCGTAAGTCGTCAAGACGTGGGTCCCCAAGGCGTGGGTCCCCAATACGTGAGTCCCCGAGACGTGAGTCCCCAAGGCGGGTTTCCCCAAGGCGGGCTTCCCCAAGACGAGGGTCTCCAAGGCGTGGGTCCTTAAGGGGGGATAGGAGGGAGACGGACCAAGAGTTTGTGGCCAGGATATCCGGTTTAATTGATAATCAAGTGAAATACCAGTTACCCAGGAGGGGTGCTGACCGACCAGATGAGTACCAGAATGACCACGATGATCGAAGGCGAGGGCGTTCCACTGCGAGATCGCCACCAAGGACGCCGCGACCGACCCCACAAAGATACCATCAATACCAGTCAGACGACTCTGGAGATGATTCCCCCAGGCGGGGTAATCGATATCAGAATAAACATTCACATAGGGACATAGGGCGCAGGAGGGGAAGGGGTAGTGATTCAGAGGGGGATAACGATCACCATCGGGCTAATCGGAGTCTGTGTGTGCGCCGCGGACAGGGGGGTAGGGGGGTCCAAGACAGTTCACCAAGAGGTAATTTCCGGCCTTCTACTCTCCCTAAGAACCTACAGTTCGATGGGCGATCTAACTGGTTGCTATTTAAGCAGAAATTCAAGAAATACAGTTCCGCCTCAGGGTGGTCCCCCGAAGAGAGGAGGGATGCTCTGTGCTGGAGTCTCACCGGTAAAGCGGGGGACTATTATACGCTGTTGACCGAGATGGACGAGGACATTAGCTACCGGAAGTTAATGATCGAGTTTGACAAAAGGTTCAAGGCTGATGAGTTGCCCGAGACCTTGCAGGCCAGATTCAATGTGGCGTGTCAAGAGGAGGATGAATCCCTACAGGACTGGGGTGACAGAGTTCTGTCTTTGGGTGAAAAAGCCTATAAAGATCTCCCCCAGTCATGGTTGAAAAGGCACGCCGTAATGAGATTCTGTTTGGGTTGTCGGGACGTGGAAGCGGGACAACACGCCTGCATGCAGAAACACAAGTCCCTAGAGGATGCGCTGGAAGAAATTGAATGGTATCGGTGCATCCATAAAGGATCGAAGGGGCATAAATCCTCAACCTCCGCCCCCAAGTCCAGGACGGACTCGACGAAGGCGTACCAGACTAGGAGTCGGTACAGAAGTGAGTGACTCAGCCGGGTCGTCCTCGGAGGAAGGCATAGAGGATGTGGGGGTGCGAGATGTAAAACGGTATGGTACCCCTGGAGGGGCGGGCAGGCGGGATGGTCAAGACCGACGTCAGCCTCAATCTATACTGAGAAATGAGAACAGCCTGGAGAACAGAGTGACAGCCCTGGAGGAGAGCATGAAGGTGTTGAGTACCCAATCCCAGCAAGCATCCGCCAAGTCGGATTCCCAATTCACCCAGGTAAACGCCAGACTGGATGATTTACTAGCCCAACTAAGGACGCAGCCCAGAAGCCGGAGTAATTCACCGGGGGGAAACAATTGGAGCCGGAGTAATTCTCCCAGAGGCAACAGTTTCAGCCGTAATAGCTCCCCCAATGGGGGTGCTTCCAATGCGGAAGAACAGGCCATTTCAGGTCCAGTTTCAGGGGAATTCTCCACAGTTAAACTCCAAGGGGTTGGGAACGCCGGCCAGTTCTTCGACCCAGAATTAACTGTGGGCCGGTCCCTATAGAGTTCAGCATTTTTACAGTTGAGCATGGGGCAGGAGGGTGGGAACTCGGACAGGGCAGATAACACCCAGACCGAAGTTGAGTCTGAGGTAATGGTTATCAATCAGGTCAAGTCCACCTCCCTGTATCATATAACAATCCAAGTGGCGGATACACTGGTAGATGCGGTTATTGACACTGCAGCGGAGTCGACAATACTTTCCGAGCAGGTCTTCCAAACCTTGCAGCCTAGACCACCAACCCTGTGTAAGATGAAATTTCTTACAACTGGCAGGGATATGTCAATGTCAGGGCAAAAAGGAGGCCCAGTGGACCTAAAGGTCAGGTCTATGTCCTCCAAAGAAATACTACTGCATGTGGCTCCGATAGAGGATGACATGTTACTGGGGTTTGACTTCCTGGTCCGGAAAGGAGTGAAGTTGGACATGAAGAATCACCTACTTACCATAGGGGAGAGCACCATACCACTTCGTGTCGGGAATCTTGATTCCACACCAAGGGTATGTAGGGTGACAGTAGCCAAGAGGCGCGTCATTCCACCCAACTCTGTGGCGAGAGTAAAATGTCACCTCAATAAGCCATTACCGGATTATTTCATCGAGGCCGATGAAAATCCCAAACTAATGATCCCAAGGACGGTTCATCTAAGCGGGGATCAACCACACATCTGTGTCGTGAACGTGACCGATAATTTCATGGTTATGAAAAAGGGTCAAACTGTGGGGGCCGCTATAGAAACGGATATACTCACAGATGTTAGCCCAGAGTGGGGCGGGACAGCAAAGGAAGGGCCAAAAGCAGCCACATGTTCTCTGGAAAAAGAGGATATTCTGGAACATTTAATAGATATGCTGGAGGCGTCCAAAGGCAATTTATCGGAAGAGGAGTGCAGTAAGTTGACGGAAGTTATCTGTAGCTTCCCTGATGCTTTTGCTTCCCACGTGTATGATCTTGGTTCTTTCCGTGAAATTGAGCATAAGATCGACACCAGGGATACATCTCCAATTAAACAGAGAATGAGGCGTACCCCTATCCATTTCGCCAAGGAGGAAGAGGGGGAGCTCAATAAAATGTTGGAGGCAGGGGTGATCGAACCTTCCGTATCTGAGTGGGCCTCGGCTCCCGTCCTGGTGCGAAAACGGGACGGGTCCGTAAGATTCGTTATTGATTACAGGGCCCTCAACAATATTACGGTGAAGGACGTGTACCCCCTTCCGCTGGTCGAAGATTGCGTGGATACCCTATCTGAGAACAGGTGGTTTTCTAAATGAGATGCAATCTGGGGTTATTGGCAGGTGAGCTTGGACCAAGGCGATCGTAGAAAAACAGCGTTCATAACGAAATACAGTCTGTTCGAGTTCGTGAAAATGCCTTTTGGACTCTGTAATAGTCCCTCAACGTTTTCCCGAGTTATAAACCTCGTTTTGATGGGAGTTAACTGGAAAACGGCCTTAGCATTCCTCGATGATATTGTCGTGCTGGGCAGGAGTTTTGAGGACCACCTGGCGAACTTGACCGAAGTGTTGTCAAGGTTTCGTCAGTATGGCCTCAAACTGAAACCAAAGAAATGTGTTTTCTGCCAGGAAAAAGTAGAATTCCTGGGTAGGATGGTTAGCACTGACACCTTAGAGATGTCCAAGGGTGACATTGAGACTGTACAGAACTGTCCAGTACCGAAATGCTCAAAAGATGTGGAGCGGTTCCTGGGGCTGTCAAATTATCATCGGGCGTTCATGAAAGGCTTCGCCAATATCGCCCTAGCCCTCTATAACGTTACCGGAAAGAGGTCCTTTGTGTGGGGGAAGGAACAGCGGGAGTCGTTTGATGAATTAAAACGGAAATTAGTGCAGCCCCCGGTGCTGTCCCTGCCAAACCAAAACGAGGAATTCATTTTGGACACGGACGCCTCCGATCAAGCGATTGGGGGTGAATTGATCCAAATCCAGGGGGGTCAGGAAAAGGTGATAGCCTATGCGAGTTATGCCTTAACTCCAGAGCAGAAGCGCTACTGCACTACGCGCAAGGAACTGCTGGCTATCGTGCGACTCACCAGGCAATTCCGCCACTACCTTCTGGGGAAACCCTTTAGGATTAGGACAGATCATAACAGTCTGACCTGGCTGCTACGATTCAAAGAGCCGCAGGGACAGATAGCACGATGGATGGAGGAGTTGAGTCAGTACAACATGACGTTGGAACACCGCAAGGGTACCCTCCATACCAACGCTGACGCTCTGTCCAGAAGGGAAAGTAGGACAGAGACCAGTCACTACATACACGGCGTCCAGCCAGGGGAGCTTCACTGTGGGGGTGCCGTTATTGCCAGAAAGCACATGACCAGTGGGCAGAGTTCATTGAGAATGTGACGATGTGGTGCCAATCTCCAACGTGGCCCACCAGGAAACCATGCAGGAGCCTGGGGTCTCACGAACCCATGTGTGGGACCCGGGAGGGACCGAAGATGAGTCCCCGGTAACAGTGGAGGTATGTTCCATGGGACCCGTAGACGGGAGTCCAGGGTTACGGCAGGTTAACATCTGTACCGAGTTGGGCACTGTCGTTTCAGTAGTCCAACTGGATGACGGAACGGAAAAATGTTGGGGTTTCACTCGGGACGAGATCCGCCAGGAGCAGGGAAGTGACCCCGACTTAAAACTAGCCTTGGACTGGTTAAAGNTAAGGACGTGGAACGATATGTGTCATCCTGTGACATCTGCAGCCGTAATAAGAAACCCTCAAGGCAGGCAAGATTCCCATTAATTGCACACCACGCCGGTGCCCCCATGGAGAGGGTACACATTGACTTCCTGGGACCATTGCACAAGACGGGTCACGGAAACGAACATATCTTAATGATGGTTGACCAGTTCACAAAATG